TTAAATTAATTGCACTTAATATAACATAATAAAGATAATATATCATAAAGTAGGTATCCTATGATTTTCTCAATAATGAAATAAATATAATATTTGTTCCAAGATTTTTAAGCCGATAAATCAATTAAGATAATCAGATATTTCACACGTAACTGCTTACGATTGATATCTTGGATTATCAACTTTTTTTCGTACTGTCATCATAACGTCTCGATAATTCTATCATTTGGATGGCGTGACAACTTCATGATTAATATCGATCGGGAATTGTGTCGTAGGTGTTCGTAAATTATTTTTCTCATATGGAACAAAATTTTACAATTTTACAATTACTTTCTCCGTAACTCGTCACAAACAGCAATCAATACCCGTAACTCATGACTTGAAAAACGTCATTTGTTCGTACGATATTACATTTTTAATTTATATAATTTTACATTTTTACAGAGATAATTAAAAAAATGGAGCCAAGATGAAAAATCATTTCATCTATTAGATATTGCAAGTATACTTCAAATATTGCTATTATGCTTTAAATATGACATTTTCGTATCTCTAAATTTTCTACTCGATGCATCAAAATTCATAATCAAGTTGTTCATGCATATCATTAATTTATCGTACGAATAATAAATTGCAAACCATTTTTATATTTCATTTAAGCAATTAATCTCTAAAAGATCAAAGAAGCAAAAAAAAAAAAAAGAAAAGGTCGATATAGAAACGTCAAACCGTATCAAAACGAAAACAAGATTTCACTCGTAGTGTCAAGCATCACGCCCATAGATAATTCTTGTTAGTCGGATACTAACACAATTAATTCACTGTATTTTCTTTAGAGAAGAAATTTCCTTTAGCTAATTGAATGTTTTTCTTTTCCGTTGAAAAATTATCGACCTGTGTATAGTATAATGAAAAGTCACGGCTCGGTTGCATGGGAGAACGGAGATAAAGCGTAACAGAGGTCTGTCTGATCTGCTACGGTCTGATTTTACTGTTGAGAAAATTCACACGTACATAAGACGTTTATCACGTGGTAAAGTCAAGCAACGAGTCGTGTCCGCAACTTTAGGATAAAGATTTCCTTTCTCGCCTGCATTTTTCAATTTTAGAAACGTTGGAACAGTTGGTAAACGGCATTTGCAATATCTTCTCATGAAATACTCATCAGTGGAGTAATTAGAATCAATAAACAAAATCAAAAAATAATTAAAAGCAATAAAACGTTAGAAAGGATTCCTTAATGCTTGTTAAGAACAGGAGTTTTGTTTGTTTTTATTTTTATTTATTTTTTTTTTGTTTCTGACTAGTTCTTTCTAGTGCCAATTTTTATTTAGCTTTTATCTTCACGCACGTGCTGGATTTTCGTAATTACGCAAGAGAAACTGCCACGACGTTACAAATAGAGGAACAAACCAAACAACCAAACTACTCTATTTTTAGGTGTCCATTTAACGCTACCTTTCTATACAGCCATTCAACAAAAGTTTTTCTTATTCAAATCGATTTTTGCATCTCATGTTTTGTATTCCATGTCAAGATATTTTGAAATTCCGACGAGTATATTTTTAAAATTATTGTTAGTCCTAGGTGCAATCTGTGTTCGAAAGAAATTACATATCGATTGCACGCACGTCTCAAACTCATCGAGTAGAAAACATAAAAGGTCATCATTTCCCTTATTTCAAAAAGTTCCATAAAATTATTTACTGTCGCTGGTGCCTTAATACGTACGAATTTGGATATTTCGCGATTATACCAATATCTGTGTTTAAAAGATATCTTTATAAGACATATTCAAAATATGTTAAACTTAATCTTTGCCTTCTGCACAATGGCATATATAGTATAATGAAGAAGAAAAGAAGGTCTATTGATGAAATGTTTCATAATTTTCTAGGATAACTATCAAATTCTATTCTATTATTTTCATCCCTTATAATAACGACTTCATGGTCAAACATTCGTCCTTGGCCATTATTTTACATACTCATGCAAATGAAAATCAATTTCACGTGTTTGCTCGTCACGTTCTCGTCTCGGAGTAACCACGTGCAAAACGATGAAAAAATCACGTGACGGCGCATTGAACAGACGAGGGAAAAGAAAGATTTTATGCTCGTGTATTTGGGCACACTTATTTATGATGAGTGAGAATGATAAATTTCAAAAATATCATCCCTTATCTTTATGATTTCTGTCCCGTTATCAGTGGTAATCCCAAGGTATAAAGACGTAACTCTGTGTGTCGCAGATAGGCATAACTCTGTATTTTAGTCGTACGGGAAGTGTTACGCACAGCAAAGTACGAATTTACTCGTGTGTTCGGGTGTCAGCTTTCGAATATGGACGAACTAAATGGTAAATTCTTTGAAACGAACTTGAAATTATCGTAGTAACGAATTTCTAACAATTTTAATCGTTCTTCATTCGTATCAAATTCGCATGTGTGTTTCACGGTCTCAAGTGTGTTCGCAAACGAAAGCGACGTCAAATCGTGAAATTGTTGTGATTGTTGCATCATACAAATACTAAATAACAATAGCTAAATATGAAACAAAAAAATATTTAATTATTTGAAGAAATAATGTGATTTTAAAGTTTAGTGGATTTTGGTTTTCCCTACAGTTCTTTCTGCAACGTTTGTCATTTTTTTCTGTACCCATTAGTCTTCGTTAAATCGGACTCAAGCCACTTTTTGCTCTGAATTTCATGCAAAAAATATTTCAAAGAAATGAATAATTTTAAAAATAATACATTCTAAGTCGTCAACTTACATAATCATATAGCGATTGCTATAGTCTAGCTCATATTAATATTTATATTCTCGTGTTCGTTAATATTTATATTCTCCTGTTCATTAATATTTATATTCTCGTAATGTGTAATTACGCCTCGAGATCCGTCAATGTTATTAGCGTAATTCTCGCAGTATTGAGATATCCTCGATTAACAATTATCCGTTCATTCAAGTGTTAATTCCTTCGGAATTATAATGTGAAAATAGAATAAAAATTCTCACCATACAAGGTATTAATAAATCGATGGTTCCCCTAACAGTTACTTCAAATTACATACGATTAGATGAATAAATTTCTCGTCTCGTACGAAAGAACAACGCCCATACTGGAGGGCATCGTTCGCTTTTCATAATCTGCGAAACAGATACGTTAATAATTGATGGGCTTTTATTTCTAACGTAGCATATGGCGGGACGAAAGAATGACAGATATCGATCGTGCGATTGCTGATGTCCGAGATGGCCTACCTTTTCCGATATATATTCATTCCCGCGCAGCCTACTTCTTTCTCTCTTCGTCCCTTCACTTCTGAAATTGAAGAATATTTATAGGCTTCTACTTAGTGCGAGCATATTTCTCTAACATTCAAAACAAACTCATCGCGTTGATCGATTTATATCTCACCGTGTTTGCACAATTTTCGCACATTGATTACGTTCAACGTTATCGAACCACGATAAATTTACTGAAATGCCACGTGTAATTAACTATCGATTTCTTGTATTTAGATCAGTCATTAAAAACGTGACAAGTATATGTACTCAGAGTTATCCTTCATTTTTTAGACGAAACTTTCCTTCTACATTTTTCCGAGACAGACAAAAATATTCTAATTGGTAAATTCAAGTGTAATTGGTTAAGCGGAAAGTTTTGAATTAAATTAATTGAAATTGAAATTTAATGTAAAAGATTTGTAGTTCTTATTCCCTTCTTTAAAATCTTAACATATTCTAAATTTCTTAGTGCAATAATTGAACTGGCAATCCATCTTTGAATTTGAAGAGATGATTTAATATACAAAAATATACAAAAAGCACGAAATACTTGTTACAATATTTAAAATGTAAAACGATCTTATAGATTTCGTTTTTCTTTTTTCATCGAAATATGAATGTTTATAAATATTCTCAATCTAACAGTAAATATACAGACAATCATAATCGACGTTGAGATAGTATCAGGAGAAACGTGGAATACGTTTGAAATACGTTTCGACGAAAAGGTTTCAGAGCAGGAATTAACGTCGTTTTTTACGTGGCAGGTAGTAATAAACGCTTTCGTGGGTGAAAATAAACTTCTGTTGGGACGATTTGTCTTTTCTCTGGAATTGTTGTTCATCGTCCATGTAATCCTAATTTATGCGTCACTGCCACCAGACAAACAATTGCTTTGTTTGACTAACCCACTTCTGTGAATAAGTTTTTTAAAGTACCTTTTACCTGTCGAATATGCGGGATCGTTAACGATCCTATTCGTCATTTATATTCATGCAATCCCATTTTAATAATTGGATAACAACCATCGCTATCATGCTATTATTACAGAACCTCGATATATATTTTATCTTTATTTTAGACTTCAATTTCGTATGGATTGAATTTTACTTCACTAATTTAAATTTCGTCTCGAATGAAACATACAAATTGTTTTCTTTCGCGCTTTTTTCGCAATATGTTATTTTCTAATTTTAATATAACGTGAAGTGTAAAAAGTATGAAGTAGGTATTTCAATCATTCAATTTAAAATTTGTTCAAATTTATTCGCTGTATATATCGAACGATTGAGAGTGCAGAAAGGAAGGAAAGAATAAATAGATATTAGGTCTCGAATTAAATTAAAATTATAGCATTCTCACTTCGTCTTTCACAATTTTTTTTCTCTCATTTCCTGTACGATACAAAGTATAAAGTGTTCGATTTAAAGTTCGATTAGAATTGCTACGTGTATTAAAGTTTTATGAAATCATTAATGTTAGAACGATTTTACGAAAAGTGTAAAAAAGAGAAGGAAAGAATAAATGGATGTATATCTTCTCTTAAAAGACTACGCTCGCAGTATATTCAACGTCATGCATGATCTGAAACAAAGTTCTGTCTAACATATCACCGCGTACCAATCGATATCGTACAGCTGGAAATAAAGTACGTGGCAATATCCTCGCCGCAGTTATATATAGCCCCATTTTCTAAAATTGACCAATGCCACAAATAGCCGGTGCTCTTCGTCCACGTATATACGTCAATTTAATCAAATCGCGGAAGTAGAATATACAAGCCTAAAAGCAAACTACATGTATGTTTCGTCTTTCTAGATCGAAAGTTTTTCTATTATCATAAATATAGTTTTCGAATCTATTTATAGAATTCAGAGAAACATATAAACCGAGGAAATCGTGTCTAAATCAACAATCTCGAAAGTTTGCTCTTTCGTGCATATGTTGTCGTCACTTATGTCATTGTCTAATGATTTAGTGTTTGCAAATCAAACCTTCGAGAAGTGTTCAAAGTAAGAGTGAACTTCGAGAGAAATTTGAATTTACATTTTGTGAGATCTGTTTAGATTCAGATTTGCAGGCTCAATGATTCGAATTGAAGTGCTCGAATTAAGAAAAATTTAATGAAAATCAAACTCGGATTAAGTTTTGAGTTCAGTCGGTAACTATTGAAAACGGAACGTTCAATATTGTGCAACAACGTAGCAGCATCATTATTCGCAGAAGACTCGAGATTTCGCGTCGCAAGATTTTTCCTCTAACGCGACAATAACGAGAGACAGTTTGAAATCGTTACAGGAAATCGTTGCAAAACTAATCTCTGTTTGCGATTTCAGCAATGTCCTTGGAGGAGTCGCGGCGTTCGCAGCGTCCGTACAGATACGGGATGGTTCTCCTTTGCGTCGGTGCACTGATAAACTGGTTAGGCCTCGCGGAGAACTACGTCGAACCGGTACGATATGTCGGTGTTGCTTGCATAATCGCAGGCGCTCTTCTCATATGTGCTGCAATGTGTTGTTGGCTGCACGCACCGCCAAGTAGGGCAACCATGCATACACAACACACAAATCATCCAATCACAGCACAGGTAAGTGCTTCATTTTTTTAATCCATGACAATGATTATTCTATTTTTCTTTTCTTTTTTTTTTGTCGAAATTGTCAAGAAAAAAAAAAAGAAATTTCTCACGAGTCGAGATTGAAAATAAGTTTGGAAAATGATTCTAATTACGTGAATGAATTCATTTCATACACGCAACGTGTTGTGCTTCAATTACTTTTCTGAGTTGTTGAAAACATGAAATTAGTGAAGTGCAATTGTAATTGCAGACCAAACCATACGTTTTTAGTTACCTAGTTGAAAGGTGAAATCTTTCCAAGCAACAATGTTCCAAGAATATTTGAGATCAATATTATACCTCTGCACTTATATTTGATAACATCTAAAAACTTACATATACATATACCTAATTTACACATATAGTAGATTCGAATAAACTCTGCTCTAAAATTAAACGACAAATAATATTTTTGAATCATATTCAAAGTCGCAGTGATAAAGCAACATAGAAAGCCGTAGAGAAATTTTTCGAAAAAAGATTGACGTGTATTTTGTAAGTACAATCGAACGAGAGATGCCAATCTAATATTGTTCGCCAAGAAAATTGCAACATCTAGAAATTGCACGGGCGTTGCACATTTTCAACTATTGAAATTTAATTGGAAAATGAAAGAGTTTATACTCGTTACTTATTTGTCAGCGGTTAGTCAAGAAATTGTGCGATTTTGTTTTTAAGGACAAACAATATAATACTTGTTTGCAAAACTATCAATTCAGACTTTG